ATATATTATATATTTTATATTATATTATATCAACAAGTATATAAGTCATTTAAAGGACTCGGATTCACTTTTTTTTTAACAAAAAATAATATGTTTAATGGATATGTTGTATATATTAAATTAACTTTGATATCTTGATAGAAGATACAATAAGCGAAAAAGACTTCGAGAACTCCTTGTAGGAGATTAATACAAAATGTGTATGGATTCGCAGCACTCATAGCATGCCATACAGGATGCGTAAACGTGACAAGCATTGAAGTCTCTCTCGGGAAACTCCTAAAGAAAGATGACGTAGTCATCTCCGGCTATAATGGACCATCTCAAACCAGTTCTACCGTTTTACTATATCATATCTATTGTTTCTATTAGTATCTGATCGTTTGTCTGGTAGTAGTAAATAATAGAAACAATAATTACTCATTGCTTGATAATGTATGAATGTCTTTGGCTGTGCTGAGCTGCTGAGGATGCCACCTTCGCGAATCGCTCGCGGCTACGTTCGGAATCCGCGGCGTCCCTTTCACTGTTGGGGATATCCTCATTATATATACGAGCTTTCGATCAGGATACTCTTGGCAATAGATCGGCACTCGGTGCCGCAGTGTAAACGAAGCAATCGGTAAAGCAACATTCGCGAGCCGGCCTCCGCCGAGATCGCTGAGATGTGGATCCGCAGCTTGCAATGTTCTCTGGCAGTGTTTTTCGCATGCGCGTTTCTCGCTGATTCAGGTAGCCTCCCACATTGTAAAATCTATTATAGTTTTACATAAATATTTGTCGTGCGCGCGCCCAATCAGGCGATTTTTAAATCAAAATATAATTGCACACATTTGTAAGAAAAACTTAATTTTTTTTTTAAATGCTTACCTATTTATTAAATAAGTTTATTTTTACTGACAATTTTATCTGTCTCTCTCTTTTTTTTGCATTCTGTGTGAGATAGATATAAATAGAAAAATTATCTATTTTTTTTATACAAACGGTAAATTAAGAGACGGTTCTAAAAATAAGTAATTTACTTTTGAGCAAATATATTATTAATCAAAGCAAATATATTAATCAATTTTTAAAAAAACAGTTATATTATTTTATAAATAATAAATTATTAATACAGTTATAAATTATTAATACACTTATAAATTAATAATTATTAATACAGTTACAAAAATATATGTAATTTATAATAATTAATGAGACTATAATATAATTTATAATCAACTGCTTAGAAAAGCATTTTTTTATATTTGATTAAATTTTTAATGATTTTAGTTCTGTTATTGTAGTCTATCAAAATTATAAACTTATATTATTTTAAATTTCAAGTACACGTGCATGAATAGACAATGAAAGCAATAGCGATGTCTTTAGTGTGTATATTTATTCCTCCTTTGTGTACAACTCAATGAAATCATCTTTATAAATAATATTGGAGGTCACATCTCTTTGGTGCCATAGCGTCATAATTACATATATGATTGTTGGCCTATCTGCGGAGGAATACAATTGTTTTCACGTGTATTGTGTAATATTTTCTGTTACGAATTATTGATAAAAATTTACAATCTTCATCCAGAAAGTGTCGAGATTATTGCAGACAAGTATTCAGTCAATTTTGTTTCTGTGAGAATAAAGTCATATACATATATATTCCATTGCGCTATACAAATTTCAACATTTTATGCTCGGATCTTTATTTATTATTATAATAATATTCGATTATTCTACGTGAGAATGTTTCAGCAACTTAATTATAGATTACGTAGAATGAATATTAAGTGAAGTTTATAACTTGACGATTTTCAAAACTTTGTATAAAATAAAAAAAAGCAAAGAAACAAAATGCTCACATATATCACAGTTTAAACATTGTTAAAAATGACTTATATATTTATTTTTTTTTAGATAGCGTATCAGCTGGTGCATACGTCGGTGCATACGCTGGAACCGGTGTATGTAAAAATTTTTCTCATAATTTCTCATAATTTTTCAGATGTCATATTTACTCACAGAATGATCGCCTTTCTCACTAAATATTCACAAATACTCATCAAATATGTATGAGAAAATATGAGAAATGAAATTCTTTATATGAAAAAGTATGATTTTTTTCTATATATTTTGTCATCATTTGTATGATTTTCTTCTTCCAAATATGTTAAATATTTTTTCATATTTTCTCATATAAAGTATTCATTTCTTATATTTTCTTATTTATGTAACAATTTTTTTCATAATTTCGAATTTTTTCAAAATATCTCATAATTTCATATAATTATTTACAAATTGTTAATATAAAAAATTATAAAAAATTTTATGAGAAAAATTTTTACCAGGCATCTGCATTAAGCAGTACCAGTGTGCTTGAAGACACAGAAAATATTTCTGGTGCTTACGATAGACATAAGGGAATTCGTAGTTACGACAGCAGCGGTTTTCCCCACGACAATGCTAACCGTGGTGTAAAATCTTATGGCACGCCTTCAGGACACGGCGCCAGTTATGATCATGGAATAAAAGGCGGAGGTCACGGCTATAATAAGAATAATGATTGCTCTAAATGCAAATGGGAGAACGACGATTACTGGGAACGGGATGAGCCGGAGGAGGAGGGAGATGAAAATGATGGGGATGAATGCGATGATGGTCAATACAGACCACATGAAGTGCATCATCATGATTCTAATAGAGGACATAAACCAGGATCGCATCCATCTGGTGTGCATAAGACTGGACCTACGGGTGTCTATGATGGGGAAGGCGGTAGCCCTGGCGGTCTTTTAGGCGGTAGCCCTGGTGGTCCTTTAGGCGGTAGCCCTGGTGATCCTTTAGGGGGTAGCCCTGGAAGTCCTTTAAGCAGTAGCCCTGGCAGTCCTTCAGGCGGTATCAACTATCCGAGCATAGGATATTCGAGGCCAATCAGTGGCTATGAAAGTACTCCAAAACCTGGATTCAGCTGGAATACTCCATCCGCTGATGCGTCAAAACCCGGATACGGTAGCGTAACCGTGGGCGCTTTTGGAACAACACCGAGCTCTTGGCCAGACTGGAACCGAAGGACAACACCTAGTAGTTTTGGCTCTTCGCCGAAACCCGCTTGGGACAGTGGACACGACGGCAGATTTCCTTCTTCACAGAGACCTGGTGCATCTGTCCCAAACTTCGACGCAATGACAAAATCCGGACAAGGATGGCCTACCAATCAATTTCCGAGCAGTTCTTCTTCCGCGATACCACATGCAGGAAGTGGCATATCTTCTCCAAGTTATGGAAATCCGCAGAAAAGTCAGAATAGACCTTACGGACAACCTGGAACACAAAGTGCGTGTTTGTAATTTAATATATTTATTGTTCATTAATATTAGTATAACTATTATGCAGTAAAGTGAATAAGAAAATGATGAAAAATATAATTTATTATATTGAACGGATATATTAGAAACGATGAAATATCTGTCAACATAAATTTTTTTAAAATGTTAATATAAATAATGCTTCTACTTATACAGGCACATATACTGGCGCTTATGCTGGAGCAAGCGTAACATCTGGTGTTGGAAGTCCTTATGGAACAACTTCTAGCTTTGGAAGGAAAGATCATCCATTTGATCTCCATAAGCCAACAAATACCCAGGCATCACAAGGATCATATGGAACAGATCAAGCACCCTCTAGCATTGATAATAACTATTATGGCCTAGGAGGTTATAACAAACCCAGACCTGGTTCTTATAGTACGCCCACAACTATAATAAATACTATCGGAACTACTAAAAGACCATATGAAGGAATCGATTCATCTAAAACTGTTCCTGGACTCCAAACTGATCCATTTGCTCCTAGAAAATCACCAGGATCACCAAGCGGTGTTTATGAACATCCGGATGTCACAAAACCGAGTTATGGAAGTACTACCTCCTGGTTAGGTCAGACTGGAAGTAGTCCTTGGCGTGGTACAGGAACTACTCCTCATATTGGATTTCCAACATTAAATACTGGATTTGGAACAACTAAAACTCCATTTAGTCACGTTAGTACCCCAAGTTCTACGTTATCTGCTCCATATGACAGAACAGGACCGAAACAACCTAACTTTAATATTGCGAGTAGTAGCGCAATTGCAAGTACTGGTGCAAGTGCGTTTGGAACATTTCCTGGTACATATAACATTCCCAGCATAACTGGGACTACTTCATTGTATGGTACAACACCAGCGTACAGAGGAAGTTCAAGTTATACTCCCGGGGTCAAAGGTTCTGTCGGAAGTACTAAACCTGCTTATGGAACTATTCCCCATAGTACATATCCTAATATCGAAAGTAGTACCTGGCCTAGAGGACAGTCCGGTAGTGGCACTAGACCTTGGTCTAATGGAAAACCTGGAGATGGAAGTGGAATTACGCCTGATAGGCATTCTCCAAGTATTTTGCCTGCCAAGCAACCTCAAGGAAGTGGAACGTGGCCTTCCGGACAACCAGCAAGTGGAAGTGGAGCTTGGTCTAGTAGTAAGCAACCTGGAGATGGAAGCAAGGCATGGCCAGGCCAGATACAATCTGGACCTGGAAGTGGATCTGGATGCGGGCCAGGTGGAAATTGTGAAGGTGCCACTGGTTTGCAAGAAAGTAGTAATTGTGGAGGATGTTGTGGGAATTATAATTGCAACAGCAATTGTAGTGGAAGAGATAATGTACCAGTACAGGGATTGTGTGATGGAATAATAGGTCCTAGTGGTGTTAATAAAACATATTATCCCGCTGGAACTGGCGATGGAAATGTTCCAAATATTGGAGCAGCATATGGACCGGATTCACTTCATAATATCGGAGCTGATGCTAGACCAGTTTATCCTGGAACGCAAGGTAAGAAAAATGAGAGGAAAATAATATTGATAAATTGATAATTGATAAATTGATTAAATATTTAACTGTTTAAACAACTAACATTATTTTACGCATTACTTAAATAATACAAGAAATATCACATGCTAGCCGTTTGATAGTTATAAATATGTATATGATTAAAGCTAAATTTTAATTTTAATTTTCATTAAAGGTACAAGTATAACACCAGAAAGTCCTGTGCCATGGAATTCAGCAAATCCATTTTTATATGGAACTGGAAGTATGTGCATTAATAACTGAAAATTTTAATTGAATCTTTATCATTTTTATAAATTACATTTTTTACTTTTAAAATAATAATAGTTCATAACTGAAAAAAAATATAAGAAAATTTTTCGTAACAATAAATTTATGTTTAGGAGCAATTCATTACATAATATATATTTAGAGTTTATCATGTAAATTACAGTTTATATGTAAATTATATATATATAAGTATATACATACA